TTTAGGGTTTAGGGTTGCTTAGGGCTTAGGGCTTAGGGCTTAGGGCTTAGGGCTTAGGGCTTAGGGTTTAGGGTTTAGGGTTTAGGGTTTAGGGCTTAGGGCTTAGGGCTTAGGGCTTAGGGTTTAGGGTTTAGGGTTTAGGGCTTAGGGTTTAGGGTTTAGGGTTTAGGGTTTAGGGGCTTAGGGATTTCGAGGGGGTTTAGGGTTTTAAGGGATTTAGGGGTTTAGGCTCTGAGGTTCGATGTATATGTGTACACAATATGTACACGCATGCATATACTCCATAGTTGAGCTTCAAGTTCTCCTCATCAAGGTTTGGGGTTTAGGGTTTAGGGTTTAGGATTTGGGGTTTAGGGTTTGGGGTTTGGGGCTTGGGGTTTGGGGCTTGGGGTTTGGGGTTTGGGGTTTGGGGTTTGGGGTTTGGGGTTTGGGGTTTGGGGTTTGGGGTTTGGGGCCTCGGACTTCGGGCTTCGGACTTTTTAGGGGGGGTTGCGGCTGCGGGTTCCCTTAGCCTGGGGCTCTACGGCCCTGTAAACCCTAAAAACCCCATACACCCTATTTAGGGTTTAGGGTTTAGGGTTTAGGGTTTAGGGTTTAGGGTTTAGGGTTTAGGGTTTAGGGTTTAGGGTTTAGGGTTTAGGGTTTAGGGTTTAGGGTTTCCTACAAACCCTACAAACTACAAAGCCTATAAAACCCTATAAGCTCTATTAAACTCTATAACCCCTACACACCCTACATACCCTTTCCACCCTCGCCCTAAACCCTACAAACCCTATAAGGACCTACAAACCCTATAAACCCTATGAACCCTACAAACCCTACAAGCCCTATCAAGCCCTACAGGCCCAAAAATCCCCATACGCCCTATATACCCTATAATCCTACAAACCCTACAAAACCTACAAATCCCTATAACACCCTATAACACCCTATAAAACCCTATAAAACCCTATAAAACCCTACAAACCCTACAAACCCTACAAACCCTACAAGCCCTAAACCCTACAAGCCATAAACCCCAAACCCCAAACCCCAAACCCCAAACCTAAACCCTAAACTAAACCTTAAACCAGGCTGCGTCGTTGCTCTCCTCGACGCACTGCTTCAGGACGCTGCCTTTGCCGGCGTGAAGGGTTGGGTCTGCGTGGTTGCCGTTTAGGGTTTAGGGTTTAGGGTTTAGGGTTTAGGGTTTAGGGTTTAGGGTTTAGGGTTTAGGCTTTAGGGTTGAGTTTAGGATCTAGTCAGATCTTAGGGTTTCGGGTTCCAGGTTTAAGGTTTCGGGGCTTCGGGTTTTAAGGCTTTAGGGCCGAAGAGGGCTAAAGGGTTTTAGGTCCTTCTAGGGCAAAGTTCCCATGCACCGCCAGCAACCCTTACAAAGCAGTGCGTAGGCTCTCACCCCCAGGGAGTGGAGGACCCAGGTAGTCCTTCAAACCTTAGCCCTGAGCCTGAATCCTGAAGCCTTGCACCCCTACACCCTAACTACATCCTTGAAGCCCTGGAAACCCCGAAATCCTAGTTCCCCCATACTCCAGTGGTCGGAATAAATAGCCTCATATTCCCTCTAAACCCAGCTCTGATCATTAAGGCCCCTGGAGTACCCTTCCCCACAGATCGATACCTTGAGGCTCTGCGGACAAGCTGCTGTAGAGCTTGATTCTATCCCGCACCTCGTCATCATTGTCATTGGCACCAAACCTGGGGTATAGACGCAGGGTTGCAGGGGCTTGCAAGGCCTCAACCCTAAACCCTAAACCCTAAACCCTAAACCCTAAACCCTAAACCCTAAACCCTAAACCCTAAACCCTAAACCCTAAACCCTGCAGGACCCAGTATGGCCAAGCTGCTGCAGCAGCAGGAGGACGTCCTTGCGCAGCGACGTGCACTTCCTGAGCTTCCCAGCGACTCGGTTTTGCGGGGCTTGTGGGTTTAGGGTTTAGGTTTTAGGGTTTAGGGTTTAGGGTTTAGGGTTTGGGGTTTAGGGTTTAGGTTTAGGGTTTAGGGTTTAGCGTTTAGGGTTTAGGGTTTAGGGTTTAGGGTTTAGGGTTTAGGGTTTAGGGCTCGGGTTTAGGGCTCGGGTTTAGAGTTTAGGGGTTGAGGGTTTAGGGCCTAAAGGTGTTAAGTTTGCGGGTTTAGGGCTTCGAGGGTTTACAAGGGGGTTTAGGGCTTAAAGTTGGAGGTTTCGGCGCTTGAGGCTGTAAGGCGGCTGTAAGGCTTGCATGGATGGCCACTTCCCCTATCCGCAAGATCCCTAAGCGCCTTAGCCTAAGCCCAAGACACACAACCCTTATAACCCTAAACCCTAAATGCGAAACCCTAAACCCTAAACCCCTGAGACCCTAGCCCCTTAAATTTTGGAGACCCTCCCCTGGCGCCCAATTCCGAAACCAACAACCTTCTGCTGCAGCCAAGCAGCATCGCAATCTTCGACCTCGGTCTTACCCGGGACTCCAATCTAACTCCCCTTATGAAGGGCCTGTGGTTTAGAGCTTAGGGCTTTAGAAGGGGATTTGGAGGTTTGGGGCTAAGGGTTTGTATGGCGTGGGGTTCTTGATGGTTCCTGTTCTTGTGTGTTTCGATTTGGGGTATGCAGATCGTACACTGGTTTTCCAATTGACCAGTGTGTTGCGGTAACCCCGTGTTGTGCTCCGAGCCGGTTACCTACATCGAATAACAAGACAGTCATTACCATGACAAAGAGGTAGGGCAAGCCGCGAAGCGCGCTTCGCAGTCGAGAACAGCTCGCGCTCAAATCGCAGCAAGCATGAGGCTACGATGGGGGGGGGGGGGGTGGAAATATGTTGGGGCCAGACTCGGCACTACTGGGGGGCACATCAGGAAAGTAGCCTTCCACTTGATATGTGCTGCCTCTACTGAATATGCCCTAAGCCTTAAACCCTAAACCCTCCCCAAAGCCTAAACCCTAAACCCTAAACCCTAAACCCTAAACCCTAAACCCTAAACCCTTAACCCTTAACCCTTAACCCTTAACCCTTAACCCTTAACCCTTAACCCTTAACCCTTAACCCTTAACCCCAACCTCAACCCTCGTTGCGCGGAGGGGCAAGGCGTCAACAGCAGCTGCCCGGACTAAGGCGTTCTCCAAGATCAGTCCTGGGAGTTCAGGTTTGGGTCTATAGGGTTTGGGGTTTAGGGTTTAGGGTTTAGGGTTTAGGGCTTGAATTCCGAGTGAAAAAGGGTTTAGGGCTTAGGGCTTACTCTCTTTCCTTGCCGAGGCTCTGTTGTAGATGAAGCGCACGTACTTCGCTGGATGAGACGTGCTGGGGACCTGTCCCATGAAATTGGTCTACGAGCAGGCTCTGGTTGAGGGTTTAAGGTTTAGGGTTCAAGGTCCTTAAACCCTAAACCCTAAACTTTAGAACCTAAACCGGGCTTTTAAGGCTTGTCTAAGGGTGTAGGGTTACTTGTGCCAGGCCTGTAGTCCCAAGCCCCAAACACCAAACTTGTCTCGAGGGGACAACCCCAAGTTCGGCCCACACAGCGCTCGTAAGCCCTGATGACCTGGAGCAGGACTGCGTTCGAAAATCCTAAGCCCTAAACGCTGAACCCCTGAACCCCTAAACCCCAAACCCTAAACCCCAAACCCCAAAACTCCACGTCCTAAACTAAAGTTTAGGGTTTCGGGCTTGAGGATGCGGCTGTTGGCTTGAGCATGCGAGACTCTGACTACATTACTCAAACACCCCTAAAAGAGTAGGCTGAAATTCGGAATCCTATCTGGTGTCCTCCCTCTTTGATGCAGCGAAGACATTTGTCCGGGGCATATGTGGGTTCTTTAAGGGGTAAAAGGAGGGAACTCTAGAAGGGACCATTAATCCTATTCCCTTATACAACCCGATACATACTTTATACACTTCCCATACACCTAAGCAGCCCCTAAATAATCCTAAGCCCTAAACCCTAAACCCTAAACCCTAAACCCTAAACCCTAAACCCTAAACCCTAAACCCTAAACCCTAAACCCTAAACCCTAAACCCCATGGGTAAGCTCCAGCCCCGAAGTCTCAAGGTCTCGAAGTAGGCTGCGGCAAATAACGACCTCGCATTTTCATGGAGTAAGTTCCCCCCCCCCCCTCCAAACCCTAACCCTAAACCCTAAACCCTAAACCCTAAACCCTACACCCTAAACCCTAAACCCTAAACCCGAAACCCTAAACCCTAAACCAAGACTCCCTGGGCCCAGATCCACACAAGGCCTCCTCGCCCAGGAATCCGAGGATGCGCGTGCAAAGATTCGGGTACTCGCAGTCCTGGAGGCCAGCAAAAACCATGTCAGAGGGTTTGGGTGGGGGCCCTCCTAACCCTAAACCCTAAACCCTAAACCCTAAACCCTAGGGGGTAGCCCACATCCAAACCCCAAACCCTAAACCCCAAACCCTACACCCTAAACCTGAAACCCTAAACCCTAAACCCCAAACCCCAAACCCTAACCCCAAATCCTAAACCCAACACCCGACACTTACAAATCCTAAACCCTAAACCCTAAACCCGAAACCCTAAACCCTAAACCCCAAAACACAGAGGCCCATATTTTGGCCGTCGCCGTTAAAACTTGTGGGCGATGCTTTGGCCCCAGAAAGCAGCAGCCGAACCCAGAGTCTGAAGTCACCACTCCAGGAGTTGCGGTTTAGGGTTTAGGGTTCAGGGTTTAGGGTTTAGGGTTTAGGGTTTAGGGTTTAGGGTTTAGGGTTTAGGGTTTAGGGTTTAGGGTTTAGGGTTTAGGGTTTAGGGTTTAGGGGTTAGGGTTTAGGGTTTAGGGTTTTGGGTTTAGGGTTTAGGGTTTAGGGTTTAGGGTTTAGGGTTTAGGGTTTAGGGTTTAGGGTTTAGGGTTTAGGGTTTAGGGTTTAGGGTTTAGGGTTTAGGGTTTAGGGTTTAGGGTTTAGGGTTTAGGGTTTAGGGTTTAGGGTTTAGGGCTTCTTGTGGTTGCGGACCTGATCCCTAAACCCTAAACCCCAAACACGCCCTCAGGGGAGTGGAGCGCCCTACATCCGAATGTAGGTCTCAGGGTAGCCGTCGTCAGGCGGCCAGCAGCCTGGGCGCCAGGGGCGAAGATTCAGTGACTGAAGGAGGGATCCCAGTTTAGAGTTTAGGGTTTAGGGTTTAGGGTTTAGGGTTTAGGGTGTGTAGGGTGTTAGGGTGTTAGGGTGTTAGGGTGTTAGGGTGTTAGGGTGTTAGGGTGTTAGGGTGGTAGGGTGGTAGGGTGTTAGGGTGTTAGGGTGTTAGGGTGTTAGGGTGTTAGGGTGTTAGGGTGTTAGGGTGTTAGGGTGTTAGGGTGTTAGGGTGTTAGGGCGTTAGCCCGCGCCGAACACGCTCCAGCCGCGTTTGCCCCAACCCTTGGGCTTGCCCTTGCCTTTAGCCTGGTCCTTGCTCTTCCCTTTCTTGCCCTGGGACCAGTTGCGCCACGCGTCGTGCTGCGGACCCTGTTCGGCATCCTCGCGCCGGCGCTTGCCGCCGCGCTTCTTATTCTTGTTCCGCAGCAGGGGCTGAAGGTTTTCGAGATCAAGGTGCATATTGGCACCGTTCAGCTCGTAATCCATCGTGTCCTGGCTGGACACAGAGAGAGTAATCTCTCTCACCCCCTGCGCGGATCAGGGATCCCGCGTGCCAGCCTCAGGGGAGTACTGCACTGATAGCGCAGTCTCCGGAACGACAAGTTCCATTGCCCACAGCCAGGGCACTGCCAGGTGTTAGGGTGTTAGGGTGTTAGGATGTTAGGGTGTTAGGGTGTTAGGCTGTTAGGCTGTTAGGGTGTTAGGGTGTTAGGGTGTTATGGTTTAGGGTGTTAGGGTCTAGGGCTTAGGGCTTATTCAGGGTGTAGGGTTAAGGGTTTAGGGTTTGGTCACATAAGGCTTCTGTTCGTGGAACTGCAACGCGTAACCCACGGGACACCCGACGGTACACCATGAAAAACCTTGTTCGCAAAGCCTGGTTAAACCCAAAATCCAAATTGCGCCCAGGACAGAATAGGTGAACCCTCTGCATAGCCTCTTTACATAGCAATGCTATGAAAACGACAGCCCAAGTCACTTCTTTTTTGGGGGGTACGGGGGGGCAGTGACTGCGAATGTGTGACTGACTGTGACTGACAAAGGCGCGCAACCGGAAAAACATGGCTTGTTGCGCGCTGCAATGTGACAATCGCCGCGAGGCATGCTCAAAACCTTGCACGCTAAAACCCCATAGAACCCCCAAAGCCCTGGAAACCCTTAAAACCCTTCAAGCCCTTCAAGCCGGCACAAAACCCCAAAGCCGTAACAAACGCTTCAGTCCCTTGAGGCCCTGAAAACCCCTGTGATCCATGAAACCCACAACTTGGCATGTTACCCCCTATTACTAACAGTCCTTACTAGGGATTGCAATAGGGGGTACTATGATCTCTATTAAGGACTGTTCATGTAAGGGGGAACATCCCAACCCTAAAACTAAGCCCTAAACCCTAAACCCTAAACCCTAAACCCTAAACCCTAAACCCTAAACCCCAAACTAAGGTTTCAAGCCCAAGCCACAGGGGCGCGGGTCACCCGAGGCTGCCAGAAGCCGACAGGCCGGGCAGTGCGGCGAAGGCCGGGGAGGCTCCGCCACCTCGGGGGGGGAGGGAGGGGCGGGGGTGGGGTGGGTTAGGGTTTAGGGTTTAGGGTTTAGGGTTTAGGGTTTAGGGTTTAGGGTTTAGGGTTTAGGGTTTAGGGTTTAGGGTTTAGGGTTTAGGGTTTAGGGTTTAGGGTTTAGGGTTTAGGATTTAGGTTTTAGGGTTTATGGTTTAGGGTTTAGGGTTTAGGGTTTAGGGTTTAGGGTTTACGGTTTAGGGTTTAGGGTTTAGGGTTTAGGGGGCTCAAGGTTTGTAGATTTGAAGACATTGTAGGGTTGAGGGTTGACCTGAATCATATACACCCTACAATCCCTGCAAACCCTGCAAACCCCGCAGACCCCACAAACCCTGCAAACCCCGGAAGCCAAAAACACCTAAACCCTCAAGTCTTCAGGTTTCGGGCTTTCAGGGTCAGGGTTAGGGGGAACTGGAGAGGTAAAGCTTCAGATTCTGCTTCAGGCTTCTGACAAACTCTGAAACTCTACACCCGAAACCCCCGGACTAGGGATTTGAGGGGTGGGGGTCTGCATGGTGTTTAGGGTTAGGGTGCTTAGGGTGTTGAGGGTTTAGGGTCTAGGGTTTGGAGGGTTTAGGGTTTGGAGGGTTTAGGGTTTGGAGGGGTTAGGGGGGATGCGGGTCCAGGCCTCCAGGTCTTCTAGGGTCTTGGGGCTTATAAGATGTTCGGGCTTATAAGGTTTACGGTTTGGGGTTTGTGGTTTTAGGGCAGGTGGGTTGGCGCAGCAAGCGCTCGCCTCGTGGTAGGGCGTGTGGTAGCGACAGGAGGGCTTGTGCCACCTTCGCAGCTGAAAGCATAAACCCTAAACCCGAAACCCGAAACCCTAAGCCCTAAACCCTAAAGCCTAAACCCTAAACCCTAAACCCTAAACCCTAAACCCTAAACCCTAAACCCTAAACCCCAAACCCCAAACCCTAAAGCGCATCTCTGGAGGGTTCTAAGCAGCCGGGGGCTCCAGGGTTCTCTGCGCTCGGGGCTCAACGATGCTCAATCTGAGCAGCCAGTCTGCTAGACCCAGGAGTACCCTAGGAAAAGAAAGGGTGCCCTTTTTTTGGTTTAAGGGGATTCTAAATCCTAGACCCTAAACCCTAAACCCTAAACCCTAAACCCTAAACCCTAAACCCTAAACCCTAAAACGAGGAAATCGGGGCCTACTCCGGGTCCTTGTCTGCAAGGCCTGAGCCCCCAATTCTTGCACCCTTCTCCCCTTAAAGCCTGAAGCCCTAAACGTTTTGGGTTCCGGGCTTAGGGGTTACAGGGCGGTTTGGGGTTTCGGGTTTAGGTTTTCGGGATTAGGGTTTAGGGTTTAGGGTTTAGGGCCTGTTGTCGTGGGCCAGCGGGACACGCCGATCCACACCACAGTCCCAGCAGAACTCGTGGCCGCATTCGCAGGTCACCTGGGTTGGGCCAGGGTTTTTGGGTCTAGGGTTTTTAGGGGGTTTAGGTTTAGGGTTTAGGGTTTAGGGTTTGGGGTTTAGGGCTCAGGGTTTAGGGCTCAGGTTTTAGGGCTCAGGGTTTTGGGTTTTGGCTTTACGGGTTCAACACGTTTAGGGCTCAGTGTTTAGGGTTTTAAGGTCTAGGGGGCTTAGGGTTTTCCGTCTGAAATCCCGAAAACCCGCAGGTCTGAAATCTAAGTATCTCGGAGGCAAAGGAGGAGACCAAAAAATATCCCAACCGCCAAGTGCAAGTCACGTGGTCGCACTCCTGGGGCGGTTCGGGGGAAAGGCAGGGGTTTGTCAAAAGACCCCAAACCGCAAACCACAAGCCCGCTAAAGTTCGGGGGTTTGGGTTGTAGGGTTCGGGGTTCGGGTTGGAGGGTTTAGGTTGTAGGGTTCGGGGTTTGGGCTGGAGGGTTTAGCTTTAAGTTTGGGGGGGATCTGGGGGAGACCCAAGTTGGAGCTGTCCATTCGACATTGCTAGGATTTCCGGGTGTTCAGCCTGCCATATAAACATGTAATCGTAGAATGATATAACCAGAGCAGCAGAATAAGAATAAGAAGTATACAAGCTGACAAAGAGATTATTCAACGCTTGGACTTCATACCTGCTGAAGGGTGCGGTGAGGGTTTCAGGGTTGCGGGGTTCAGGCTTCAGGTTCCCCTTTAGGGTTTAGGCTTTAGGCTTTAGGGTTTAGGGTTTAGGGTTTGGGGTTTGGGGTTTGGGGTTTGGGGTTTGTGGTTTTGGGGTTTGTGGTTTGGGTTTTGGGGTTTGGGGTTTAGGGTTTTGGGCACAGGGCTCACCCTAAACCCGAAACCCAACACCTAGCCTCTAACCCCTGCACCCCCAAAAACCACAGGCCCTGAGCCGAAAAAAAGGTCCTCTTGTGACTTGTAGCCGCCGCCGTACTTACCTTGCCGCAAGGGAGGGCAGATTTGGAGGGGCTTCCGAAATGAGGGGTACCTTCTTGGGGTCCTTACCCTGAGCCCGAAACCCTGATCGCCAAACCCGAAGCCCAAAACAAGCCCTAAACCCTACACCCTACACCCGAGAAGCTTCTGTCAGCAACAACTGGGTTCCTGAACAGCCAACGATTCACGGAGAAAGCGGACAAGGTCCTGTAAGGAATGGACCATTTGAGAAACATGGCCCCTTAGAAAGGGGAATGCTAACCAACAAGGCCACCTACCCAATGGTCATTCGAGGCCAAATGTCGTGAATGACTGGCATATGGAGGTTGAAGGGGTTAGGTTAGGGTGGTTTCCCATACTCAGGGCACGTTGTGGCTACTGGGAGGGCTCCTATAACTAGGAGTATACTCTTTCTTTTGGGGTATGTAAGGAGCACCCTTGATTTTTGGACATGCCCACATTTCGAAGGGTAGACAACGAACTTCTCATGTTTGGAGCTCTGCACATGAAGCCTAAGCCTACACCCCTCCCTCCTAGACCCTAAACCCGGACGCAAAACCCCAAAAACCAAACGGCCTAAGCTCCAAACCCTAAAAACGCCCTAAGCCCTAAACCTCAAACCCGAAACCCTTCGCCCTAAAACGCCCCCAAGCCCCAAACCCTCAAACACCCTAGGCCCGCATCCTAAACCCTAAACCCCAAACCCCAAACCCCAAACCCCGAAACCCCGAAACCCCGAACCCTAAACCTTACTAAACCCCAAACCCTAAACACACACAAAACCCCAAACCCCAAACCCCAAACCCTAAACCCCAAACCCCAAACCCTAAACCCCAAACCTTTAAGCCCTACAGTAGCCCTAAACCCTAAACCCTAAACCCCAAACCCCACAACCCTAAACCCTAAACCCCCAAGGCCCAGCCACATTTCCGCGGACACGGCTTCCAGCCAAGCTGCAGGGCCTCCACATGGCGGGTGGGTTGTTGGGGTTTGGGGTTTAGGGTTTAGGGTTGGGGGTTTAGGGTTTGGGGTTTAGGGCTTGGGGTTTAGGGTTTAGGGTTTGGGGTTTAGGGTTTGGGTTTGGGGTTTGGGGTTTGGGGTTTGGGGTTTGGGGTTTGGGGTTTGGGGTTTAATTAGGGTTTGGGGTTTGGGGTTTGGGGTTAGGGTTTAGGGTTTTAGGGGGGGTTCGGGGTCTCTTGGGAAGGCAAGGAGTGGGAGATTGGGGAGCTTAAGATGTAGGATATGTTGTAAGGTTTGGGTGTTTAGGCTTGGGGTGGGGTTTCTGCTAACCCTAAACCCTAAACCCTCAGCCTTAAACCTTAAACCCTAAACCCTAAACCCCAAGCCCTAAACCATGGGTCTGGCTGTTGACGCTTGATGTTTGGATCTTTCTTTTGGGGGGGAGGGTTTAGGCTGCTGTGCCCCACTCTCCCCAGGGTTTAGGGCTTAGGGTTTAGGGTTTGGGTTTAGGGTTAGGGTTTAGGAGTTTATAGGGCTTAGGCTTTGGAGGTTTTAGGGCTTACGAATGGCGTGCGCATGAGTCGGAGAGGTTTCAGGTTTGGGTCTAGGGTCGAGGGTCTGGGGTCCGATGGCGCCTCTTGCATTCCCCACAGTGCACCCGCTGACCTTCCGGGCACCCTAAACCCTAAACCCTAAACCCCAAACCCTAAACCCTAAACCCTAAACCCTGAACCGGGGCTTCGGGTACCTTCGGCTCCGACCCCCCGCGCCTGGCGGAAGGCATCCGAAAAGCTCCGCTCCTCCTGTCCACTTGAGGGCGTTCAGTTCGCATAAAAAACAAAACAAACCCTAAACCCTACAAACCTGCTGGGCCCACCTAAACACCATGAAGAAACCACCAACAAGCCTAGATTTACCCCTCCCGATTTGAGAGCAACAACACGGACTGCTCAAATTTCAGTGCTTTTTAGGGTTGGGGTTTAGGGTGTAGAGTGTAAGGCTTAGGGCCCAGTGAGGGTTTGGGGTGTAGCAATGAGTCTTGACTGTAGGGCTGAAAAAAGAGTAACAAGGATTTGGGCATTCTGAACCCTAAACCCTAAACCCTAATCCCTAAACCTTAAACCCTAAACCCTAAACCCTAAACCCTAAACCCTAAACCCTAAACCCTAAACCCTAACTTCGGAGTCGAGGGTTTTGGGTTAAAGGGTTTCGGGCCGGGCTTGGGGGCTTCGTCTCAGATCGTAGGTTGCTCTGTCCTTCAGCTGGTTCCGCCACGCCTCGCCTAGGCTTGCGCCCAGCAGTCTCATGCTTGGGAGGCACGGGTTGATGGCTTCGGGGCTAGGGGTTTAGGGTTTAGGGTTGGGGGGTCTAGGGCGCGCGGGGAGTGCGCCACTGTTTGCAGATTACTGCAGAGCTTGCAAAGGGGTGGGGTGTTGGGTTTAGGGTTTAGGGTTTGGGGTTTGGGGTTTATGGTTTAGGGTTTAGTGTTAAGGGTTTAGGGTTCATGGTTTAGGGTTCAGGGCTTAAGGTTCAGGATTATTGAGGAGGCACTTCAGGGGGGCCAAAGGCCCGTTAATTGCAGGCCGGTGGCAGGTCATTGCTGGGTGGGGTCCCAGCTCGCACTTGGCGCAGAAACGGTGACCTTGATTCGGGGAGCAATGTCATACGTATTCTTGTAGGGTCTTTAAGGGACGGTTTACGGTTTAGGTTAGGGTTAAGGGTTTAGGGTTCTTGAGGGAGGGGGATTCAAGGGGGGCATGTAACCCTAGCTTCCCTAACACTCCCCACTTCTGCCAACAAGTAATAAGAACAATCATAGTAATGCTTATTGTTCTTTGCTTCTAAAGTTCATCGTCACAATACCAAGAAAAGTCTAAGAAAAGTGCTGTTTCATAACAAGTAATGAAAGTAATTGTCGTGCGCGTCATATTGAAAAAACACGAAGGCTTTGGTTTGGGGCTCAGGGGTTTGAGGGTGGGGGTGGGGGGGGGAGGGGCATCAGGTCAATGAATATAAGTACCTCTATAGTTATACTATAACCACCCCCAAAACCCTATTCTAACTGCTCTAAGGCCTTTATATTGCTGATTCGTCTGCATGCCTCATTCCGAATCCCAAATGCCGAGTATCAGGGCCCTGCACGTCAGTACTCCCTGAGTCTCCACTACCCACTTGATGAAAGAAAGCTCATTAAATCGCGTAAGGGCTGTTCATTCAACCAACATTTGCTAGTTGAGAGAAGTTGTTATGTAGTGGCTGCCCATTGCGGTAACAGTAACCCAAACCCCAACCCCAGCCACCCTGTACCCAACCCAAACCCTGCACCCTTTAAATTCCCTAAAGCCCGAATACTCCAGACCCGCATCATGGAGGGGGGGGGGGTTTTAGGGTTTAGGGTTTAGGGTTTAGGGTTTAGGGTTTAGGGTTTAGGGTTTAGGGTTTAGGGCTAGGCGGGGCCATAGCAGACCCACGCGTTTTCGGCAGTTTGGCTCTGTTGCCCTCAGAATCCCCTGTAAATACCGATGTTTCCTGGGTTTCGCCCATCACCTCATCCCCGCAATTTTTATCCAAAATCATCCTGCAATTTTTTGGGCATCCGTAGACTGCACTGGTATTTGTGGGGTTTTTTGCACTACTTCGCACTTTCGACGTGTCCTAAACTAAGCCCTGTCTTGCTTGCATCCGCTTCTGCCCAGCCCTGGGTCTAAATAACACGTTTGCTTCACCATAGTTAGAAGAGAGCATCCATGGCCCAACCATGATGACGTCCATAGTCTAATCCGTTCTGGGAAGAGAGTATCCATGGCCCAAGCATGATGACGTCCATGGTCTACTCTGTTCTGATGAGAAGAGAGCATCCATGGCCCAAGCATGATGACGTCCATGGTCTACATGTTTTCTGCACTGCCATGGCCCAACCATGATGACGTCCATGGTCTACTCCGTTCTGGGAAGAGAGCATCCAGGGTCCAAGCATGATGACGTCCATGGTCTACTCTGCTCTGATGAGAAGAGAGCATCCATGGCCCAAGCATGATGACGTCCATGGTCTACATCGTCTCCATTCCGAGAAGGTCAAACCTTCTTCTGGGCAGAAATGGTTGGAAGTTCTTGCTTTTAGGCGCACTGGGGAGCAGAAAGGCGTCGTTTCTCAACACTAAAGGCGGTGACCTAAGTCCTGCATCTCAGGTTTGCTGGTGGGGCCACAGTTTTGCGCGGGTCTGTTGTGGACCCGCCAGGGTTTAGGGCTTAGGGTTTGTAAGGTTTAGGGTTTAGGGTAAGGTTTAGGGTTTAGGGTTTAGGGCTTGGGGTTTAGGGCTTAGGGTTTAGGTTCAGAATCTCGGGTTGCTCCGGCCTCTGGGGCACGTGAGGTCCGCGAAGTTGTCGCCTTCCTCGCAGAAGACCTGGGGTGGGGAACTAGGGTTTCTGTTTAGGGTTTGTAAGGTTTAGGATTTGTAAAGTTTAGGGTTTGTAAGGTTCAGGGTTTAGGGTTTAGGGCTTGGGGTTTAGGGCTTGGGGTTTAGTGTGAACACCTCCGGTCAAAAGCAGCTTCGAGTGAGAATAAGGATCGGGGCTGCAAGGAAAGCTATGTTCACTTCGACCTTCAGGGATTTAGGGTTTAGGGCCTAGGGTTTCAGATTCTCTTGGGATTCTCTGAGAATACTCTGAGTTTGGGCGCTCCAGGGGTCCTCTGGGGAATTCCCTGGGGATCTTCTGGGTTCGGGATCAAGCAACCCTAAACCCTAAACCCTAAACCCTAAACCCTAAACCCTACACCCCCTTGAAGCCCCTCCTGGCCCAGCCACTCGCTCCTCGCACCCCAAAGCGCGGCAGTCGACAATGCGGGGATCGTCGCGGGTCAGAAACTCCAGGAGCTTGAGATAGGAGTCCTTGTCCGTTTAGGGTTTAGGGTTGAGGGATGAGGCTTGAGGCTTGAGGCTTGAGGCTTGAGGGTTGAGGCTTGAGGCTTGAGGGTTGAGGCTTGAGGCTTGAGGCTTGAGGCTTGAGGCTTGAGGCTTGAGGCTTTCAGATGGCTTCTTAGCCGAAAACCGAAGCCCCAAGCCGCATGAGATGCTTGGGGTACTAGGAATGGGGTGTAAAAAGGTTTTGCCTGGGACCGCAGTTGTCTGCTACTTTAGGAGTTCTGCCCGGTATGGAATTTCGGGGGCTATATGCAGCCTTCTAACCCTAAACCCTGGACCCTAAACCCTAAACCCCAAACCCTAAATCCTAAACCCGGGTCACAAGTAGCGTTTCGTGTTCGGAGTTTAGGATG